GAAAAAAAAACGGTAATTATAAAATATCATGAATATCCTAGAAGTGATTTGGTTGAAATTTGGTACTTTTCATTTGAACTAATAAGGCGCTTATTTAGCCCTATTTAGATTGGAATTATTGGGGCCAGTGACGTCTCAGTGGGCACCACAGCCAACAATATTGTGAGAAAAAAGTACGCCACTGACTTTTTTTGGTAAACTCTCATTTTGTTCAGATTGAGCAACTCAAGATACAACTTTTTGGTCTTCTGCATTTTCTCCATATCTAGCTTCGTTTTCGAGATAAAAAATCAAAGCAACTGTATTGCATATCATGAACACCTGCATTGGAGAAATGAGTTTTTCATTATTTCCGCCAAAAATTTAATTGACACTTGATGTGCTGAAAGTACCAAATTCCAACCAAATCGGTTCCAGGATATGCATGATATTTTATAATTACCGTTTTTTTTTCTTTAATTTCAACGTCCTGTATCTCAGAAACGAAGCAACTCCGGACATATGTTCATAGGAACTTTTCTTCTCAAAATGACCTAACAAATCACCCCCTGCAGTTAGGAACCGTAGTTAGGAAACACCCTGTATAAACCAAAAAATGATCATACTGTATCAGATTCAGATCAAATAAAAATTTTTATATACCTCTGTTATATCAGTTTATTGTTTCCACGTTTAATTTTTTCAATTGCTTTGTATTTTTGTTCATTTTTACTATTCGTTCCTGTTTTTTATATACTCAAATCTCATAAGTACCTATGTAACAGTATTTTTTGATATTCGTTAGTATTTTTGAATTGAGAATGAGGAATATGATTATTTTTGTGTAAGAATGATTGTTTTCTTTGTTTCTATTTTGTTGGAAATTAATACATAATGTTTTGACGTCATAAGCTTATTTCATTATCTTCTCTCGGAATTCGTACAGCATAAAACAGATCTATTGAAATCTACTGAATTATTGACAAGGTATTCACCTCGGTATTTATTGATGATTGAATAATAATCGAACTGGCAACCCTGGTCCGTGCGCAGGTTGAGTTGACAGCAACTGTCATTTGCTGTTGTCAAATTAATTATTCACAAAACCCGACAGATTTTAAATGTAAATAGGACCGTAATGTGAATATGTCGTGTTTGAGATCGACGAAAAAATGTAAAATGCACCTTGGCGAAAAAATGTCTATTGTCTCACCTGATTGCTAGCCTCGGCTGAGGCCTCGGCTATCAACTAGCAGACTAGACTATAATAGACAGTGTTTTGTCATTGGTACATAAATAACTATTTTCTCAAATGGAACCACTATATACTCATCATTTTTGTATTTCGATGCAGTAACGAATTGTATACATTCAAAAATCAACTAGTCAATGAATTTCCTTGTAGTTCGAATGATTTGTCAACCAAGTAAGCTGTGGAATTTCTGAATCTTGTCAACTAATAGTAGAAAAATTATGTTACTCTGTTATGTGCGACTTATTGTGAATAGTCTTGACCACATCTCATTTATCCACGAGGTAAAATGAAAGAAACAATTTCAATTTCAGTTTTTTCGAAAAAAAAATACATTCCACATGATGATTGCACTTGTTTTGACCTGTTGAACTCGAATGTGTAGAAATATGCAGAGGGTGTTCCATTCGAAAAACCAAAAGATTCTGGTATTTCCAGGAAAACCGGAAAATTGCCATATCGGATTGTAATGTGATCAAATCCAAAAGGGTTGCTTATTTATTTTAACTCTACCAAATTTCTGGAAAATCCGTTTACGAATGCAGAATTTGCATGGGCTCGATATCCTGTGTCACCCGGTATTTCAAGTATACTGAATGTTGGATTCAGCGGTAATCAAATCTCTTGATTTGGTATGACTCATTGAAACAACTCCGAACAAGATATCACTGCAGGATGACATTATATTACTTTGCCATATTTTGAAAATTTTCAAAAGGATTTCCGTCATGTTGAGAATTTTTGGTAACAGTTGTATTCGTTTTGAATATGCAAAAATTTATATTCAATACATCAAGTCGATGACATGGAGTAATGAACCCATAACCCTAGACACATTCCATCACGAAACATGAACTAGTTCCTTGTATACTAGCTTAATTATTGTTTTTATACAGGTACTTAAGTCTTGCAATTTACTGTTACTTTATCTACTTTCACCAAAACTGAAAACACGGAAACTAAGTAAATTGAACGAACACCAAATTATACGCTATATCACAATAAGGACCAGCAAAAATTGTTTCAGTATCCAACAATGTTTAATAATAGAATAATACGATGACAAATAGAAAGTGAATTTGTGCTACATAAGAAGATCGATCAGGTGACCTTCAAGATCACGATCTAAGGCCACTAAATACTAGGATGTGTAGTAAGAGGATGTTATGACTTTGTTATAAGGATTATTATCTTGGCATCTGGTTATTGTTTTGCATCTTCAGAATTGGATGTGGCGATTAGTTATTAATATTGCGAAAGTGAATAACATTGATTCTCAATGAGTATTCCACTTCTGTTTTGTGTTTTTGAGAACCAAAATATCCTCTAAAATGGTATACCGGGTGTTTCAGATCTTTCCATACAGTCAATACCTCAGTTATGCTGCTTGGAAAGACAGCAACTTCTGTCGAACTACCCCTGGAAAACATACCCAACTTGAATTTTTCAAATAACACCCTATGAGTTTTTCATTGATTTATTGTGAAGTGCAATCAATTCGAACTTCCACGATGTATCACTCTGATCTGACAGAATAACCATTTGGAGTAAACGTAAAAGGCATTGCCTCATGAAGGGTGGTGGTAAATGAACGAAGAGGTTTAAATTCCCTATAAATTTCAAGGTATAGATTTTTAAAATATTACAGAACAGAACGCATCGAATGACGTGCGCAAAACGTTGATCATTATTTCTCAAACCACTCAGAGACATTCGACACAACTTGGCCTCTTACGAAGGTCACTGCAGAGAATTTTGTTCACAATAAGATTGTTTCCATACAGAATTCAGCTTGTCCAACAATTGAAACCCATAGATCACCAACAACGACTTGATTATGAAATTCATTTCCGGCAGAAAGCAAAATAAAATCATGATTTCTCATATTCTCCATTGATAAACTACTCCGTTCATTTTGCTGGATTTGAAATGACTACACATTATTTCTTGAGTTGCTCTCAACGAGCCCAGGCCTTTCATTTGTTAGGTACCCATATTGTAGAAGTGCATTGAAAATAACTATTCCACCATCTTCGATTCAGAATAACGTCACACACCTCATCGTGCATTGTCATCCAAACTAAACGTGTAAACAAAATTGCAGCTCAATCGGCTGAAGATATCTACTTCAAAATTGGATTCAAAATTCCACACGAACAAACATACTTACATACATTGCAAGTTGAATAAAATCTTTTGAAAATGGCCAAATATTACACTATTTTGATACTGATCTCTCGTCTGGATTTTTCTCTCCTAAATTGGTTGCACTCCAAAGACTGCAAGGAGATATACTGATGCTTTATTTGATATGATCACAATATTATACCGATTTCGGCGGAATAAAATGAAAATTTGAGATGAATTTATAGAAATTGAAGAATATTTTCTGCGAATCATCGAATATAAACAGATATGGATCATGATAAAACATGTTGAACTTCAGTTTTACCTTTAGTTGACCTTGAGAGACCATCTTGTAGAAGTTACAACGAAACTTCGAATCTAAGTATTCGATGTGTTCCTGCATCGAATATCTACATCAACCCCTTAGATTTTGATACAGGGTGAATTCAAGTAGCAGAAGAGGCCATATAACAACAATTTGAAGAACCATAAAAAAATGGATAAATAAATATTGTATAATAAATATTGTAACGATATCGACTAAAGAGTATAGAAACATTTTGCACTGATAAAACAAGCATTTCATAATAATGAATATAGTGATGAATGCAACTGATTTCGAAAAGATGTCATTATTTACTCAGCAGCATCTTTAGTGTACAGGATGTCCCAAATTGTTTGATTTGGCAGTACAAATATCTGGCATCTTTCAAAGTTCTCACATATGTGCATGTATACATATAATAATAATGTAAAAATTGCACAAATGATAAGATTTCCACAAACTTCTCAAACACACGACATGTTTCGCTAACACAGTAGCTTCGTCAGGTGATATACTGGTACGATGAACTAAACTAACCTTGGCTTGCTTTTTTTCTCAACCCGATCGGGGCCTAGGGATAACTGTCAAAATCCAAGTCATTTGGGACACCCTGTACAGTTATACGGAATGTTAGTGATTGAAAATAACTGATAATACAATGTCAAAAAATTCTACTCAATATCGATTACTCAACTTCATGTTTCTAATTTGCTTCACAAAGGATAAACTTTCGACCACTAGCTCTGGAACCAACCATTATTCACTAATTTTCAAGGCTTCAAGTGTGTTTCAACTACCAAGGTAGTTTTCGTTATCTTATTACTATTACTATTATTATTATTATCATTATTTTTATTACCACTTGTCAATATATAACTATGTCTTTGCCAGGAATGTAGGATATTATATTCGTCGTTATTGATGGTTGTTTTTGTTGTGGTGTATTTCGTTTATTTACAATTTGGTGAATCGTTCTATCAATGAAGTTCTCTGGATAGGAGTTGAGTTGGGGAACATTTTCAATGTTGTGGATTTCGTTATTGAAATTTTGTTGGTTAGATGATAATGATTTGTCTCGATCATGAAGTGATTTGATTGTTCTTTTTTTTCTGTCAAAATGTCACTGACAAGTTTTTGAATTGTTTTTAGGCTCTCTGATAAAAAAAATAAATGCCTTGACATATACATACACATATATTGAAATAATACTCATATTTCTATCCCAGATCCCAAATAATCAAGTGAAATGAATGTACACCTCCTTGATTGACCTACAGACAGTATTCGTTAATTATCAGAAAATAAAATGGCAAATAGTTGAAGATATCACTTTATTCGATATTACTAATCAGTCGTATCTACCAAACATAATCAATGGATATCACTTCGATATAGTCTTTCACATTCCACCAGCTTCTTGGCCTCACTTTTCAAGATCTCGTAGACTAACTTGATGGCATTGTCATCCACATCGTGGCAGTAGTTACCCCTGCTCGATGCCTCTTCTGTCTTGACTTCATTTGGAAGGGATCGTTTGCCCCAATTTGGAGTGAAGTTGATCTGGGCTGCAGTCAGCCCAATAACAGACACCACAACGAATATCACGAATAGTCTACACATTTTCCAAACTTTGATCAGTGAAAACTGAGTATTATGAGTGAGTGAGTATAACTGGTGAATATGATTCAAGTGAATGCGAGTTTGGACCAATAATCGGGGAGTTTTATAGTGAAGGGTCGCTCCTACACAGCTATCATTAAAAAAATTGGCACTGTGAGCAATTTCCGGAGAAGACTTGGAAGGGAATTTATTATCTGCATTAAAATGGACTCTGACGCGTTCATAATGATAGTTTATCGTAGTGAAAATAGATTTGTTGACGAACTTGGAAGCCAACCAAAGTCGTGATGCATCTCCTTCCCTTCTTATATTGACAAATCAATAATTTAATATAAAACATCGAAATATTGGTTAGGAACAAAAATGATTCAACTAGAATATTTTGAATTGATTTAGAAATAAATCATATTTTTTTCATCTCATGGATCGCATAGAAGGAAATCCTTATTATGTTCGAAGGACATCGTGCGCACAAAGTGTCTCCTCATATTTTTCCATATACCGGAAACCCACACACACTGATTCTGTAATTCCGTTTAGTTCTTGCCATCCTAATCAACAGAAATATGCAGCTTTCAATTCTTTATTCCATAGATTGTTTAATATCCCTATGAGTCCAGAAAATTTTGACAAGGAACTGAATATCATGAAGCATATTGAATACAACAATGGTTTCCCTCCCAATATTATTAATAAGATGTACAATAAACACCAAAATAAATTCTTCAACAGAAGCTTATTACCAATACAAAATCCACGAGTACGTTTTTCATCTATTCCTTTCCTTGGCAAAGTCTCGTATGATATCAAAAACATTTTTCATCGATATAGTGAGGATATTAACATCTCTTTTTACACAGTTGATAATATTTCGAAAAATTTTGTTAATTCTAAAGATAAAGTTCCTTTGAATCAAAAATCTGGAGTATATTGTATCTCTTGCTCTGATCCAAATTGCAATGCTCAATGTGTTGGACAAAGTGGTAGAAAAATTTTAACAACACTGAACATGTTGAAATCATTGAAAAATCCAAGAATACTCTCCCTTTATTTGATGAATATGATACTGAAAGTTCATTTGCAAACCACATCCTAAATTCACACCATAGTTTTGATCCAAATCAGGACCTTAAAATTCTACATGTCTGTCCAAAAAGTAGGTTACTGAATTTACTGGAAATTTTCGAAATTAATTCTTCCTTGAATAATAATTCTGTCTTGTCTCTTAATGAGCAAACACATTTTGATTGTATAAAATTTTTCAATGCTTTGGATTTTAATCACTGATAGTTCACCTACCTTGGTCTCAACTTATTTTATGATATTTCAGTCAATGATTTTTCAGGTTTGCTCAACTCTCTCCTACATGTATCCCTCCTCCTAAATCCACATTCTCCAATAGTTGTAATAGATATTGTTATATGCCTATGCTCATGGTCAGATTTTCATGTTTTATCCCTTGACATTGACATTGACTCTATGTCAACGTCTTGTCCATGTCTTCAATTGACATAATTTTCAGTGTTTTCTAACCAAATTAGTTTAGATTTGAAACACGTGCTGGCTGTTTGCCCCATCAATTTTATTGATATTTGCTGTTAAATAACGCTTTCATAAGGGAACGGGGAACCCCTTTTTTAAAATCCCGCTAGTTTTTGGTGTTGTCAGATAATGAACTGTTTGACAATACCCTTCATATACCTTTTTGGTTATATGAAATGTTCATTAATAAAACATAGTATACGCTCTCAGGGCACGCGGGGCCCTTCATTTATTGAGAACCCGTTTATTCAGAACCTTGGAACTCTTGACTATGGGCATTGACAGTTCAAGGAATAGTAGCATTATAATAAAAAAAATTTTTTCAACTTCAAGTAAGTCTAGCATAAAATAGGTAATCCTTTCACTTCAATATCAGTTGTTTTTGTATTGTAGACCTTTCAATTAGGCTGAAGATGGTCTTTTATAAGACCGAAACATATCCCTCATGATTTAGTCAAAATATCATTAAAATTTGTGGAGATGACTTCGAGCATTCCTTCCTTCCTGTGAAATATTTCACTCCACTTTGAGCAATATGGACTTCTACCAAAGATTGTCTCCTCATATTTCTATCCGTACTTTCAGCTTCATCTTAACGGGGTGACAAAAAAACACAAATATTAAAGTTGTACTATGGCTTATCACAAAATAGAAAAAAAAAGTTCGAATCAGATTTTTAAAATGGAACACCCTGTTCATTTTCAGCTCTAGTGAAAGATCTTTCTCTCCTGTTCACAAATATATGTATAGTTTGCTAATGTGTCCTCCTTTCCTGACGGCATTTTCCACTTATTGAATCAAATTTAAATTCAAATGGCTGTGGACACAACAGAAATGCCATGAAAACAAAACAGGCATTTTTTGATACCTATGCCGATTTCCGCAGAGGAAAAATACGAAATAGCTTTGAGTATTCACACTAGTGTATATAATCAAGGGAAATAGTTAGATTATATTATAAAAATACTTAGGGAACTCTATATATTTGTGAACAGAAGTAAATATATCTTTCACTAGAGTTGAAAATATACAGGGTGATCCATTAAAAAACTGATTTGGAGTCTATTTTATATATTTTGCGATTCACATTTGTTTATTCAAGAATTAGCAAAAAATACTAAATTATGAAACCCTACAACTTTCATACTTGAAGTTTTGATCCATCTCGTATAGCACTCGGTATAGGGGTCAAAATATATATATAAGGGTACACTCGCACCTAGGGAGGAAAGGGAGAGAAGGTGAGTATTGATTTCGTTTCAAATCCTAGAGATAGATTATGTTCTTCAAAAACTTCCTATAGCAAAGAATTCCAAAGCAAAATATTCATCGACATCGTTGCCCTGCCTTCGTCATCAGTTCTTGGTTTTCTGGGAAGAAATGGTGATTCTGAAAGAGAACCCAGTATGAAGAGTACTCTCATCTGCAAAGCTGATGCAACAGATCATTGATATTAAGTAGGAACAATTTCGGAGCAAAAAAAACTTGTGAAACGTCGGAATTGATGCATGGCTATGGTACCATAACGATACACTGTTCACCACCACGTGGAGCGATCTGCTGAAATAAAACTCGATGAAAAAAAGCAGAGCTGAGGTGGTAAGCTGATTATGATGGTTTCTGTTATGTATATGGAGAAGTCAAATCATGAATGCAAACCAAATTTCAATGGTGGAACAATTATCGAGGAATGAGACAGGCAGAGGAGTTTACTTAAACACATCGCTAAATCGTCACAGAATATCGACTTAGTCTGAAAAGGAGTTTGAATAGAATATCAGTGGGAAAGGGTGCCTATTGTTTGCTCAACAAACCCAGGCGCTTGAAAACTGCTGTGCAGGTTTTGTCAGGAAGAGAAGAAAACAGCAGTACATATTCTATGCCACTGTGAAGGCTTGTCAAGACGAAGGTTCCTTACCTTGGGAGAGAAAAAAATCAAGAACCCAAAATTACACAGGAGATCGTAAAGCTACCCTATGTATTCTTATATAGAAGGCTGGGCTAGTCACGGAACTCTATAGATTTTGAAGGCAGACACAATACATCTGAAAAAGTCGCGGTGTGGAGGCAAATAGCCCGATGTTACCATTCTAATTAATTGAATCTACAGTTGTGAGGTTAGTGCCAAAATATTTGTCCTTTATCTAGACTGCAGGAGGAATATTTCAAGAGTTGTTGGAGATTACTTCAACAAGAAAGCAAAATACTCTCTTTATATTCAAGTATCCGAATTTGTAATAGCTCCATGCGTATATATTAACTGAAATCCCACTGATTGCAATGATTTTGATACCAGCGGGTTCTCATAAGTAAAATCATTAGCTGTCCTTATTATGTAATGTCTTGATATCATTAACAAAAGACCCAATTAGTTCGATTTTACTTTCACATTCGACATTTAAAGTCCACTTATATCATGACCCCGACTGCCATTGCCAGCACAGATATTGTTATCTAAATTATCCCCAAGATATTCACGGTTCAGCACCGATTTCAGGTCTCCAACAATGTTTTTTCTTCGACTTTATTTTACGACCGCGACCAATCGTGAGCAACAACTTTTCACCCACGAGCGTCGATTGTCAGTTGTTCCATATTAGGCAATTTATTAGCTTTGTTATGTCAGAGGCAATTGTGTGTTCAAAGTAGTTCACTATATAAGATAAGCTTTCTACACCAGTTCGCTCGATGGTTACTGCTATAGTTTTTTTCTGCAATCAATTCAGCCAAGCACAAAAATTATTCACGATATATGGGAAAAACAACATACCTAATAAAATAGTGGGAGAGAATTTGGGCCATACAGACGTCAGTCATGGAAACCGTTGATGATCACAATATGCAAAGAAAAATGCTTGGAAAGCTCTTCAGATAAAATCATTGCGAACACCTGAAATAAAGATGACAAGAAGTCGACAGATAATTTTTTTTATAGCCTTTTTGAACAAACAATTATCCGTTTGAACTTCTGATGCATGGATGAATGTTGGTTGATTGAATTTTCGTGCATTCTCTTTTTTGTCGTCACAAAAGTCCAATCATTTTTCCATATATTGGTAGGTATGATAAATGTTTCTCGTCCTGTACTATGAATACCTATTTTGAACTAAACTGATCAAGAAAATAAACGAGAGATATATTTTTCTTCATCATCCTGATGTATTTACTCCATTTTGAGTCTTTGTATCCGACACTCCCACATTATCCAGAACCATACACACAATTCGAATTTTTCAAAACAGACAGAAAAAAATCCTGAACTTGGAAAATCTCGATTTTGCACACCCTATATGTCAGTAACTTTCACTGCTAGACCCTAAGTATGATACTTCGTTGAAATAAGATCTTCAGGGAGAATTTAAAAATGAAATAAAATATAGGGTGTTCCAATGAAAAAAGCATGGCTTTGATGTGCTGTGACCTTACGGAACACCCTGTATATTTCAAAGAAATTTTTGAAATGTGAAGCTCGGTTATCACTTTAATTTGAATGCAAAACTTTTTTTTGTATCTCTCAAGACAACAGAGGTATCGA